ACTGACCTGAGATATTAAACAGCATCAGACACTTCATTCAAAACTGCAATTACTGTTCTTCTGTTATCTCATGAAAGAATCATAGAAAAGATCTATTGAAATCACTTGATATCTCTAATAGAATCTGATGAGATGTAGTAATTAACTTCACTATCAATCTATCTGAGAGTAAGAATTGTAGAAACATTCTGATCATTGTGAATCAACTGAGCAAAGATGTAATATTGAAATCTTGTAATAAGATGAATACTGAACAAGTCACTGAAGCTTTTCTACAGAGCCTGTTCTATCAGATATATGAATTACTGAGATCTATAGTATCAGATCAGAGCTGTCAATTCATGAGTACTCTCTGAACAAGAATCTGTCAAGTTCTCAAGATTACACACTGTCTATCAACTGCCTATCACTCTTGAGACTGATGATGTGTCAGAATGAATAATTTAGACCATGAAGAATTATCTCTGTAAGTTCTGCAATCATTTATAAGATGATTAATATAATCTTTTTCTACATGCAGAGATCACTATCAATAGTTGAGATGTCATTTCAACAGATATAAGCCTGTTCTTCCTTACACATGAATATCACATGAAAGTGTTGAATCTTCTAGAGATTACACAGTTCACACCAGATCTCTGCAGTTCAATTCAGATTGCTGATAATATAGTAATGAAGCTCTGAGATGTCTGTGATTAAGCAGAGGCCTTTATAGCAACTGTGAAACAAGATTAAGAGAATCAAATTAATGTTCACTGAGACCTCACTGAACAATATAAGATAGAAGATCTGATATGATTGAATCTTAAGAACATATGAATCACACATTCATCTCATATGCTAGATTACCACCATATCAAGTATAAAGTGATAGAAGTTCTAGATAGCCACAACTATCATCTTAATATATCACCAGAAATCCATGATGTATTTCACACAAGCTTGCTCTGCCATGCTATCACTGATTCATTCTCTTCTCAACTGACTTCTAACTGACAGTCATCAGACATCATAGGAGAAGATAATGAGCTTGAGTGAGAGATTGAGAATATTCTTGATAAGAGATTTCATGGCTGCAGTCAGCAATATCTTGTGAAATGAGTTGACTACAATCAACTGACCTAAACTCTGAGTTCTGTGTTATCTGAAACAGCAGTTCTTGACTGATGAGAACTGCTTCTGAAAGAGAGGACTAATGTAGCAGGCTGCATCTGATCAATCATATAGACTATTTCATTACACTTCACAGATTTCAATCACTTCATTCTCAAACATGTATGCTCTGATTCTCAGCCATTCTCAATCACTGATTCAAATGTGTGTATATTCTTCCACTGTGAAGCTCCACCGCGTACGCTATCACATACATGTATAAATATTCACCTCAATTGCTGATTCTTGCACTTTCTCTTTCTTTCCTTCTCTAATGTTTTTATCTTTGTTATATAAGACCTATCAATATTATACTGATCTATTCAACGTAGGCCTCTTACAAGATCTTTGTTATTAGAGAGAATAATTACAGTGATTCTCTATTTTCATATTATAAAAATAAGTTATTCTAATTTCTTTCTTCTCTCTTTTCTCTTCTTCTTCAACTTATTACTAAGTTCAAGCTGATATGAAAACTATTAAAATACTCTTAGAAACTCTCAAATTGAAGAGTATAGACTAATCAAATTTTAAATACAGAAGAACTAAATTATATTAATATACTAATTATTCATTCTCTCCTAATAAAATCACAGTTGTGTCTTCTCTCTTCTCTCTTAAATGAAACATGTTCTGTGAAAAATGAGTATCATGTCAGATTATAATAATTAACACAGTCTCAGTACACAGACCTGTATATACACAGTGTGTACTGAACTGAGAGACTGCATGAGTAACAAACTGATAGCAGCATCTCAGAGAGAGTCATACAGTGTGAAAAAGCTGCAACTCTCAGTTATATATACAGAGAATGAATTATCACAGTAAGTGTATATACATTGCATGAAAGTAACACTTTTTAATAACACTCAGTCTCTGATATTATAAAAATAGAGTCTCTCTGTGAGATCTGTTTTTATTAGAAGTTAGAGAATCTTATATTTCTCAAGATCATCTTCACATATTTTATCTGTGAAATTGATAAGAAGAATCATTGATTTCAGTATTCTACTCTTGATACTATTCAAGTGACAGCAGAGTTCACTCTGATCACACTTTTTAAGTGTATATTTTCTAAATATTCACATTTATACAGATATATACAGATTATTTATTAGATAATATTAAGATAATAACTTATTATAACTGTATTATTCTCACTGTGAGAGATATATAATTGATAATAAACATTGTAAAGACTCTGAGAAGTGAGTATTTTAAGAATACTATGACTCTATGATCTTGATTTTTTTTATTTTTATTTTTTATTTTTTTTTCTTTTTATTTTTTTTTTTTATTCTGATTTTTTCTTATTTTTATTTTGTTTTTTGTTTTTTGTTTTTTTTTTTTGTATTTTATATTTTTTTTATAATTAAAATTATATGAATTATAATCTGTATTCAGAAAAGTAATAATATTTAATAATACTCTCTATTGAATTTTTAGCAAATAAGTACTATGTTATGATATTATGTAAGTGAGAAATGATTTTATAATCTTATTTAATATTATTCTTAATAATGAGATCAGAATGAAAATGTAACTAAGAATTCAAATATATTCTTTATCTAAGACTAGATTTTTATTTGAAAAGTGAATTTGAGATCTTTAATATTTGAAATAATGTGATTTGGGATCAATGTAATGAACACAAATCATGATCAGAAGTGATGCTTTTAGGTAATATAATAATTATAAAGTTTAGTTCTGGTCTCAGACACAGTTACACGGTCAGTCTAACTACATCTACAGCTTTGATTCTTTCGTAAAATTAATCAGCTTTTAAATGTTTCTTCTCATGTGTCAGATTCTCTCTACGGGCCGACAGCTTCCGTCTAAGTGAGGTGTCTGCTGATCGCTCAGTGAACACTTATCACACGTAAAAGATCACACAGTAGCTAGATCTTAATAATACAATTAACTACTCTATTATATCATCTCTATTAGATTATGTCTCTTCTTATGCATAAGAATTCACTAATTCATTAAAAATCAAATTCTTATGCTTCATGCTTAAATTGAAGATCTAATTATATTCTGAAACACTGTATTAGTGATTCTGTGACTACTTATTATAAAATAAATTAAAAAGCACTCTGTTGATTTTAAAATCAATTAATCTACTACAGACTTTCATAACAAGTCTGCCAGCAATCTCTGCATTTTCACATGAATAGAAGTGTAGACAGTGAATATATCTCTATAAGCAGCTTCACTATCAAAGATAATATTGTCTCACTTGAATCTGTACTGATTACTATAAGTAGAAGATATTCAACACAGTTAATATATACATACAATATCTCTGAATAAGAGCTGCTTGAGCTGTAATTACTGTTTCAGATAGCTCAGAAGATTTGAATCAAAATAAATACAGATTATAATACAAGTTCAAGAGAAAGAGAAAATCTCTTCTTAAGAGAACACTCTGTACTCACTTATGATAGTCTTACTGATAAGATAACTGAAATAATAATATACTTTACTTATTTATAAGAGACAGAGCTCTCTGAAGCAGATATGATAAAAATCACTCATAAGTAATAATTATAAAAATAGAGAATAAATCTCAATCTCACTACAGCTGTGAATCTAGTCACTAGAACAGATAAGCTTTACAAATTCAAGAATAATTATAGTTATATTGAAATGAAAATTATTACAAAGCTCTCAGAGCTAAAAGACAACATTGTCTGATATGATGAAATTGAATTAAAAGCAGTTTTAATTAATGTATCTTATATTCTTGCAGATGAAGAGCTTTTCTCTGATCTTTAATTAACAGATAAAGATTTAAAGATCTGATACTATAAAGAAGACAGATTACAAAAATGTATATAAAGCTTAATAATAACAGAGCTGTTGTAACGTGGCGGAACCGAAGTGATAGCTAGTCAGCAGTGTCATGTAGAGGTAGTTGTTTAAGAAGCTGTATAAGTGAGCTTGACTATCTTGCTTGAATAGCAAGCTTATAGACTATGAGATTATTGCAAGAATATCACAGATATGATACTTAGTATACTAAGAAGATTGTATGAGACACACAGTAACTCTTATATATATTTCAGTCAGAGAAAAACAAATTGCTGACTTCTTTAATAAGAAGCCAGTATCTAGCTATTCTATATAGATAATGAGCAGATACTCTTCTCTCATTTCGTAAGTGAGAATAGCTGAAGTGATATCTCAGCAGCATCTCATTATCAAGAAAGAGTAATCTGCTGATCTTATATAGAAGTGAGATTCTTATATTCATCAATTAAATCTTTCTATAATATATCTGAATAATGTTATAGAGTGATTGAAAACTAGTTCAGATAATCTGTGAGATGAATGAAATTATCTGCATGAAAGTGATGAGTCATGTGAAATCACAATAAGGTCTTAGCATAGTTAAGAGTGTGATAATACTCTTCTCTTTAAGAGTATAGTCTCTATGCTCTCAAGATTATCAGATTAGAAATTATCTTTGTTATATAGTAACAGTTACTAACTGATTGATAGTGTATATACTGCATGTGATATAAAGAAATAGATGAGTTTTTCTGCTGACTGTGTAGATCTTTCTTTATTCATCTTCATTTAAATCAAATATATGATAAGTGAGTTTCTTATATATTAATTTGAAATGTGGAAAATGTAGTTAACAAGTGACTTACAGATCTCTCATTATATTTCATCTTATATATGAAATTCTCTGTAAAAGTGATGTGTTTTAGAGACAAAGTTAACAGTGATAGTAGGATTTTTTGAAAAGATCTTTCTCTCTGTAAAACATTTTTCTTCTCTCTCTCTTCAATTACAACAGTGAGTGCATGAAAGTATTATTCTTGAAGAATAATAAAGAGCTAATTCTGACATTTTCTAGTGAGTAAACATCTTTGTGATGTGGCTGCAGCCTCTGTGATCATCAAGAAAGCCAGGTTGAAGGCAGAGATGACAGTGTCAATGAGCTGCAGAAGTATCACTCTCATTGTCACATCTTCTCCTTCTTCTGCATCTCTTACAGCCATGGTGGTAGTAGCTGTGCCTTGCAGTGAGGTGTTGTCTCTTCTGCCAGCTGATTTATCTGTATTCAGTTCATCCTCTGACCCCCCTGTCACTGTTGCAACGCCGCCCCCCCCCCTCAATCAACACAGTGGCATATGACCCTGTGTGATCATTCAGAGAGAACTCTGAGAAGAGTTTGATTCTGAGAACAGTGACTCTGAGAAGCTTAATCTGTAGTTTCTCTCTTATAACATATCTGAGCCCTGCTCAGAATACTACTGAGTTGAATCTGCAGAGTCCTGTGATTTCTTTATCTTCTCTCTATGAGAAGACTCTGATGTAGTCTCTGACTGACACTGCTACTTGTCTGCACTGTGCTAAGCAGCTGAAGAAGAGAAGAATTTTATACATTTATCTCTTCTCTCACTTCTATTATTTTTATTACATCTGTAACAATGACTTCTATCTCTCTATAAGTATTATCTCACAGAAAGATGTTATATCAGCTCTGATAAGAAGTCTAGATACTTGATCAGTACAGAGCAAGAATCTCAGAGCTTCAAGTATTAATAAATTTTATTAAGACTGAGAAGATCTCTCTTACTCATCTGTAAAAGAAGATGAAAGTGTGAGTCTCTGAGATGAAAAAACATCTCAGAATGACTGATCTCAAGAAGGGGTTAGCTGATATCACTGTTAAAAGTATCACAGAGATCAATCACTGATTAAAGAGAATCTCACTTCAGTTAAAACAGATAACTGAGATACTTTGTAAGTTGATAAGTTAATACTTTCAGTATCTCTTATACTCTTCTGCAGCATGCTTCTCTGCAGTGCTGCAGTGCTAATTTCTCAGCAGACAAAGATATCAGTGCTGAAGACTTCAATGATGAAGAATGAGTTTAATAAGAATATGATTATTAATGAGTAGACTCTGAAGTTCCTTCTTTTTACTTTTTCAGCAGACTGCAGTCTCATTAGAATAGCAGCAGTCTGTAGATTAATAATATTAATCTTTTTTATTAATTTCAAATATCTCTTTCTTTTCTTATTAACTGCTTCAGGAATTTTACACTTGTGTAGTCTCATTAAACTTCTAAAAAACCCTTTGAAAGAAAATAGAAGAAGAGTGTTACAGAGTCTACAAGACACTGACTCATCACTGTGAGATTATCTCTAAAAAACTCTTTGAGAAAAATGAGAAGTCTCAAGCAGCATTTCTTATTCAATATCTCTGATATGTAATGAAGCAGTCTCTACTAGCTGTCTTATAGCTTACAATCTCTTTCTCAGTATTTTTCAAATGCTTAAGCAGTTCTCATAAATTCTCTGATAATAAATAATCTTCTCATTTAATAAGGTATTAAAGCTTATTATAATGTGTTCACTTATTCAATATTTTCTTCATAAGATATTCAGTATTATTCTTGATCTCAATATTATTCAGCTGAGACAGCTCTGCTTCAGAGCATTGCTTATAGAGCTTCAAATAGAAAATGTGAAAAACAGAATAAATTGATTTCAATTCTGTGAGTAATTTTAACTCATATATCTGCTTATTCATCACTCTTGTTACTGAGAAAGATTCTAGTCATCACTCACTGAGCTTCTTATACAGTCTCATTGTCTTGATATTCTTTGCTAAAAGTAGTACTTAATTCTCTATTAAGAACTTTATTGAAAGATATTTTTAATTATAGTATTTCATCTACTACTTCTGAGTATAATGAATACTTTTCACTGCCTTCTTATGAATTTTGTTCAAAAGTTTCAATCTCACTTTTACTTCTAGTACTGAGAGATACTCTGTTCTCTGTATCTGTTCAATATTCTGACTGTCTATCTCACTCTTTGAAATATTGTCTGCAACATCACTGAGTAATAAAGAATTATATTTATAATAAGTATAGAAAGAAGATATCTTTAAGATTGCATTCTTTATATTATTATATATGAATTCAGTAGTCAGAAGATGTTTAAGTCAATTATTCTGATAATATAAATAGAACACTTGAAGATGCTGTTCTAGTGTCTGATTCTGACATTCAGTCTGATCATCTGTCTGTGAATGAAAAGCAGTACTGAGAAGATGTCTTATTATAAGATGGTAGTAAAAAGTCAATCAGTACTTGCTGATGAAGAGGAATTCTCAAGCTGTTATTAATAATTTCAGAGCACTGTGATCATGAATAATAATATCTAAAAACAGGTCAGTCAATTCAGAGGCTTTAATCTTTTTATAAGTAGAGATATATCTGATCATCTTTATAAAGCAGTTAATAATGATTACAATTGAGTTATATTTTTTGACTCTTGTCAACTTCAGCAGATCAACTATGAAATTTATTAATAGATTCTATTATAAGTTCTTTGAAACAGACAGTGATGCTAACTTGCTGTATTACTTGTACTGCAGAATCTTTATTCTTTAACAGATATTGTAAGTCTTAATATACTCTTTGACATCTGTCTGAAGCTTGTCTCAAATATATTTATATTTTAGAAGCTTCTCAGTCTTCTCTAACTCAAAGTGTCTCACATGAGAATTATTATAATGAATTCTCAATAACTTCTGACACATCATTTTACTACAAGAGACAAAGACTGAATCATTCAGCAGTAGAAGTTCACATTCTTGTAGTTATCAGTGACTTGATTTCTTAGTGATATCATCTCACTCAGAGTCTATCTCTTTCAAGTTCAAACTGAATTCTTTCTTCTTCAACTTCTGAATTTGAGCTGCAGTAGAGATATTCTTCTTCTATAACTTATCAATGAATTTCAAAAGTAGTTGAGTTGAAAGATTGTAGACTGTTTTGTTCTTTATCAATTCAATAATTGTAAGATATGATATGAGAAGCTTATGATCTTCAGTGTCAGTTCTCTGTAAGAACTCAGATTTTCTTTCACCTTCTATACTGAGTCATGCAGCTGCCTTTCCAGCGCTGTTTCTGAGCTTCAGAGAATCTTAACTCTCTGCAGCCAGCTTCTTCTGCAGTGATGACAGAGATTCTTTTATAGAATTCTTCTCTGCATTAATGATATTATAATCAGACTATCTAGATAATGTGTCAGTGAAGTTAAGCTGATCTGAATGATATCAGATATAGAAATTATACTCTGAAAGCAGCTTCACTCATCTGACTTGATGTTCTGTCAAGCTCTTTATTGTCAAGAAGTAACAAAGATTTACATGATTAGTGAGAACTTACACTGAGTATCTACTACTCTGAAGATAATATCACTAGATCTTAAAGAATTCAACAATTGCTAACATCTTCTGATCATAAATATTATACCTTCTCTGTATGAGTAATAACTTCTTGAAGAAGAAGATCACTGATCTTCATTCACAGTGTTTTATAGACTCTGTAAAAAAGTCTTCTCTCACAGACAATTCATTATCTATTTCTCTAGAGATGATTATTCTCTGATTCTTTCAATGTTAAAAGGTCTCTGATATCAACTGTGAAAAGATTTCACAGATCTCATTCTCAGATACATCAGTCTCACACTGACTGAGTAAGTCAGAATTAAAGTGATTCAGTATTGTAATATCTGTAAAAGCTTGTTTCAATTCTGCAAATATCTGCACAGTATCTTGAGTGAGAATAAATGATTCTGTTTTTCTGTCTTTCATTCTTCTCTTTAACAGATCTGTAAGAGAGACAGTAATCTGTGAATATGTATAGATGAATCATCTGTAGAAATTTGCAAATTCTAGAAACATCTGCATCTCATGATATATTCACAGCACTGGTCAGTTCTCAATGACAGAGACTCAGCTCCTGTTCATTGAAATGCCATTCATCTTAATAATATAATCTAAGAAATCAATCTTCTGCATGTAGAACAAGCATTTTTCAGTATTTGTATAGAGTTGATACTGTCTCAAGTGACTCAACACTTCTTGAACATGAGTATCATGTTCTTTCTCTGTTTTTGAGAAGATTAGAATGTCATTCAAGTATACTATACAGGAGATGTTGACAAGGCCTTACAGCATCTCATTTATATAGATCTGAAAGATGACTGAAGCATTACAAAGATCAAAAGATAAAACAAGATATTCAAAATTATCATATTTAATATGAAAAGTCATTTTTCAAACATTATCTTCATTAACCCTGATTCTATGATAGATATTCTATATATCAATCTTTAAGAACATCTTTGCTTCAGATAATTGATTGATCATCTCATCAATCAATAGTAAAGAATAGTAATTCTTAACTATCATCTTATTAAGGCCTCTGTAGTCTACACATAGATGTAGTCTATCATTCTTCTTGAATATAAAGAGTATAGACATCTCTGCTGAACTCTTTGATAAATATATTCAGTTCTTTGATTGCACTTCTTTAAGATATTTGCACAGAACATTCAATTTCTTTACAGACAAGTTGTAAAGAGACCTGTACAGTGTTATTACACTGTCTTCAAGATGAATCTTATATTATATCTTAATATCAGGAAACTTTGCTGCTTCTCTTTCTGAAAAGACATTCTTAAAATCTGTAAAGAGATATTATATATGTCTGTCTTCAATGATGAATATTGCTGCTAATCTTGCAGTGAGAGTGATGACTTTTTCATCTATTCTCAAGTCTCAGTCATCTGCTACATAGTATATTAACTCAATCTTTTTCTCAAGATTCTTTCAATGAAACTCTTCAGATTTCTCTATCACTGTCTCTTTATTAGTGAGACAGTATCATCACATCTGAGTAACTCAGTTAATGAGAGAATTGTTTTCTCTCAATTATGAAAGATTTAGAATGATGTTCTTATCTATGATATTAATTGTATGAAGAAGCAGACTGCTCTTCTTAAAGATTTCTTCTAAGTCTGTGATCACATACTTTGCTTAGATTATGTTAAAACAGTGACATTTCATTTTATCAGTAAATTTCATATAATCTGATGAATCTATCTTCTTTCAACTCTTCATCAAAGAAAAGAAATAGAATATGAAGTTAGTATTTACTTTAGAGTTGAGTAGATATCTCACTAATATCTTCTT